GCCCAGGGGCCCCATGAGTTGTCAGTCCGCCCCTGGCTGAGCCAGCCAAAAAAGGGATAGTAAAGGGATAGGCACAGTGAAATCAAAATCCTGTGTTTCCATTAGAATGGTGATCTCCTTTAAGAAGCCCTTCAGAAGCATTTGATAAAATGTTTAAAAAGGCATTAGACAGTAAGTCCCCCACTCTGCCATGTCTGACTCATTATTTGTATGTTTCAATATTTTTTTACGGCTTTGGACATTTCCTAATCCTTAATAGTGAACAGGCGCTCCCCATTAACTATGTATGTCTCTGGGTCATAGACAGGGCTCTGGAAAGCTTCTCTTGCTCTTTTACATAATACACTGTGGTGACAAAATCATTCCTCATGTGTGAACTGCCACTCTGTTCTTTGTAAAGATATTATGAGGTCACCATTAACATATTAGTAGTATTTTCTTCTAGAATAATTTATAAGGAAGCATGTGATTGATAGAAAGTTGTCACTTTAGCAGATATAAATATTAAGTTTTCAGAATGGTTTTATTTGTCCCAGTTCAGCTATGACAGTTATTGGCAACGACCCATTGTTATGGCCAACGTACTTGGTTAAATTTCCTCTTGTTCAGCCCATGGGGGAGAAAATCAGTCGATTCCCCCATCCACGTCAACAGAATCTTCCTAAGTCTCAAAGGGTCAAATGGTGCTTCTGTCCCTGTATTTACATGTAACATGTATTTTACGTGTATCTGACCAGTTGGAGCTTTAGGTTCCTTATCACATGTTTTGCTGTTGTAAAATGGTTGTTGTTTTCAGTGTTTGATGACAAATTTCCCCACAAATCATTATCACTCAATTCTGCAAGTGGTTCTGATTTACTATCGCTGTTCACTAGCTGGTCTAAAACCGATTTTGACCTAAAGGGACGCTTTTTGGACGCCATGGACTTTTCCCAGTTTCCAGGTAGAAAGAACAGTCAAAATGCAGGCAGGGCACAGGAAAAAGCAGTAGGGACAAAATGTATGTGAAATGCTTTGAAACAGCAATGTTTTACTATGTAATAATCATTTTTAAAAAATGAAATTTTTTAAAACTTTCAAATTTGCCGCCGGTTCCGGCGCCCGTACGTCCCAACATCACAGGGACAGGAACACGGAAGCCGGATGCCGGCATCGGCCGGAGGAGATGGCCGGGGACACTGCAGGGGACACATCGCAGGAGCGAAGGACAAGGTAAGCGCTGCAGGGAATCCCTGAGCAACGCTGCATGGTAAGCCCGAGCGTAGCTCAAGGTTACCGCTTGTGGTACTGAAATTTTACCCCGAGCTACACTCAGGAATACCGCCAGGGAGGTTAAGTAGCAGAGGGGGTTGTTAATCAGTTTCAGCTGCTTTGGTGTTAATGAAATTAACAACAGGTGCACTAGATGGGCAACAATCAGACAAGCCCCAAAACAGGAATAGTTTTACAGGTGGAGGCCACTGACATTTGTTTCCCTACTCATCTTTTCTGACTGTTTTTTCACTAGTTTTTCATTTGGCTATGGTCAGTGTCACTACTGGTAGCATGAGGCCATACCTGGACCCTATAGAGGTTGCACAGGCAGTCCAACTCCTCCAGGATGGCACATCAATATGTGTAATTGCCAGAAGGTTTACTGTGTCTCCCAGCACAGTCTCAAGAGCATGGAGGAGATTCCAGGAGACAGGCAGTTACTTTAGGAGAGCTGAACAGGGCCGTAGAAGGTCCTAAACCCATCAGCAGGACAGATATCTGCTCCTTTGTGCAAGGAGGAACAGGTTGAGCACTGCCAGAGCCCTACAAAATGACCTCCATCAGGCCACTGGTGTGAATGTCTCTGACCAAACAATTACAAACAGACTTCATGAGGGTGGCCTGAGGGCCCAATGTCCTCTAGTGGACCCTGTGCTCACTGCCCAGCACCATAGAGCTTGATTGGCATTTGCCATTGAACACCAGAATTGGCTGGTCCACCACTGGTGCTCTGTGCTTTTCACAGATGATAGCAGGTTCACCCTGAGCACATGTGACAGACGTGAAAGGGTCTGGAGAAGCCATGGAGAATGTTATGCTGCCTGTAACATCGTTCAGCATGACCGTTTTGGTGGTGGATCAGTGATGGTCTAGGGAGGCATATCCATGGAGGGACGCACAGACTTCTACAGGCTAGACAATGGCACCCTGACTGCCATTAGGTATCGGGATGAAATCCTTGGACGCACTGTCAGACCCTACGCTGGTGCAGTGGGTCCTGGGTTCCTCCTGGTTCATGACAATGCCTGGCCTCATGTGGCAAGAGTGTGCAGGCAGTTCCTGAAGGATGAAGGAATTGATACCATTGAATGGCCCGCATGCTCGCCTGACCTAAATCCAATAGAACACCTCTGGGATATCATGTTTCGGTCCATCCGATGCTGCCAGGTTGCACCTGAGACTGTCCAGGAGCTCAGTGATGCCCTGGTCCAGATCTGGGAGGAAATACCCCAGGACACCATCTGTTCTCTCATAAGGAACATACCCCGACGTTGTCAGGCATGCATACAAACACATGGGGACCATACAAACTACAGCGTACCATTTTAAATTGCTGTAATTAAATTTCAGCTTAATGGACTAGCCTGCTGCATCAATTTTTCACTTTGATTTTCAGGGGGTGTTTGAATTCAGTTCTCTGTAGGTTGATAATTTTCATTTCCATCAAACGATGGGGCATCCTTAAGTTCCAAACACATTACCCAGTCCATATAAGTATAAATATCCAGCATGAGATTTTTCCCCATTGAGATCTGATGTGTTTAAAAAGTGTTCCTTTAATTTTTTGAGCAGTATATATATATATAAATTTATTTATTTATTTATTTTTTCCCGTAATCATTATTATACTTATTAATAACAGATATACTTTTGGTTAAAAAAACGTATACCTTATGAAAAAAAAAAATCACTAAAACTACTAGTTTAAGATGGGATGGGTCAATATAGCATTTCCTTTTTGTTTTACCTCTGCTGGAGGAAACACTGATTTCTCTATATGTGACCTAAAGCATAGGCAACCTGTCACATGACTTTGAACAGGAAGATCTGCACTCTGATCCTGCCAGAGATCATGTAACCTGTCCATAGCAATACATTAGATATGACGCCATGTTGCCAGACAAGCATTTCAGTGCACTATGTTTTACAAAAATCTAAGTGTTGAGGCATGCCACAGCCTACCTGACACCAACGCCGGGGGGGGGGGGGGGGTGACCTATGTAATCCTATACCAGCTGCTGTGGTCCTGTCACCTGGAGCAATTTTCTTCCAGTATACAAAGTGACAGGTGCTGGTTAAATGCTATGGAAAGTATTCTAATACTATTTAGCTTAATTCTCTGCTAAAGTGCTAAATACGCCAATTTAGCCTCACCCTAATTTTTTTTCCACTAGACTGGTACATGTAGGTATAAATGACCCTTTATATGGCGGTAATAGCTGTGCCCTGGAACCGTGACATGCATGTTGTAAAAGTTATCAGCACGGTGACAACCAAAACACTTTCAATTACTAGTGATGGACGGGGGAATTTCCAAATGTCAACTGCTGTCACCAAATGTGCTGAGAAAATCTTTGCACTTTGACTAAATGATTTTGTAAATTGCAGGTTATCTGGCCTGGTGTCATTCTAGAGGAGTATCATGGTGCACATTACATAATACACAGCGTCACGCATCATTAGTGGGACCAAGAGGTGATTTTCTTATAGGCGGGTGGAAAGACATTCCAGAGAAATATGTCTTCTTTTGACACTTTTTATATATTGCCCTGCTCTATAATATACTATTTATATACAGAATACAAGAAATGTGTGATTTTGATTAAAATGTTTAAGGCTGAAGGTTTTTTACTTTCAAGCATTCTACGCATGGAGGTAAAAACCTTCAGTGTGCTGCTCTCCCCACAGCCCCTCCCCCGCCTTATACTCACCTGAGCCCTATCCAGTGATGTGCACGAGAGCAGAAACTCTCCCAGGTCTCTGGCTCCTCATTGGCTGAGACACAGAAGTGGGAGCCATTGGTTCCCTTTACTATCAATCACAGCAAGTGAGGAGGAAGCAATGCAAGCGGGGCCAAGCCATGTTATGTGTGTCTTATAGACACACAGAGTTGGCTCAGGAGTGAGCATGTACAAGTACCCTCAGAGCAAGCAGCTTAGGGGGAGGAGCCAGGAGCACCAGCGGGGGGACCTGAGAAGAGGAGGATCAAGGCTGCTCTGTGCAAAACCAGGTAAGTATGACATGTTTATTTTAATGAAGAAAAAATCTGAACCTTTACAAATGTTTTAAAGCTGAAATTGAGGCAGATGTAAATTGGGATAACCTGCTTTATATGTGTTACATGTTCCCATTCACATCACATAACTTGGAAAAAAATTTAAATTTGTTGCTCAGCTTTTTACTTGCTTACAACTCTTACCTTGCTTCCCCTTTTAAATATTGAAAAGTAGGAGGCTGGGTGTAATTAATGTTGTGTATACTGAGCTGGCAGCTCTCATTATCAGTTGTAAACTAGTTGTGCACTGTGTCTGTTCTAACAAAGGGATAAAGATCTTGAGGCTTGGGTAGTACATTGTATTTTAATACACTTTTCCTCTGTTTGTCCCTCTAACTGTACTTAAACCACTAGCCTACAGGGCACTTATACCCCCGTCCTGCCCAGGCCAATTTCCAGCTTTCAGCACTGTCACACTTTGAATGACAATTGCGTGGTCATGCAACACTGTACCCATATGAAATTTGTATCATTTTTTGAGACAGATAGAACTTTCTTTTGGTGGTATTTAGTCACCTCTGGGATTTTTATTTTTTCTTAAACAAACCAAAAACCACTGAAAATTTTGAAAAAAATAATTTTTTTCTTAGATTTTGTTATACAATTTTGTAAATAAGTGATTTTTCTCCTTCACTGATGTGTGCTAATGAGGCTGCAGTGATGGGCACTGATAGGCTGCACTGATGGACACTGATAGGTGGCACTGATGAGGAGGCACTAGTAGGTTGCACTGATGGGCATTGACAGGCATCACTGATGGGCACTGAAAGGCAGCACTGATACATGACACTGATACATGACACTGATATATGGCACTGATAGGCAGCACTGACTGGCACTGATAGGCGGCACTGACTGGCACTGATGCGCACTGATAGGCGACACTGACTGTCACTGATAGGTGACACTGATTGGCATTGATAGGTGGCACTGACTGGCACTGATGGGTGACATTGAAAGGCACCTCAGATGGGCACTGATATGTGGCATTGATGTGCACTGGTATGCTCTGATATGTGGCATTGATGTGTCACTGATGGGCACTGGCACATGGCACTGATGAGCACTGACAGGTGGCACTTCTGGGGCCACACTGATCATCACGGCACACTGATCATCAGTGCCATGATGATCAGTGTACATGTCCCCTCCGCGGAAAGCCGATTACCGGCTCTCCTCTCGAGCTGTCAGCAGGACAGCTCGAGAGGAGAGAAATGCCGATAAGCGGCATTTCCGTGTTTACACGTGATCAGCTGTGATTGGACACAGCTGATCACATGACCGAGCCGACATCTTCGGCTCTTTCCGTGATCCGCTGTGTCCGAGGGACACAGCGTACCGGAGATCGCCGCGCTGCGCGTTCCCTGAGCCGCGCATGCGCAGTGAGAATGGTAGGACGTCATATGACCTTGCGCCCGTCATTGTACTATAGGGCGGGCGGAAGGTGGGTTAAAATGCTTCAGAATAGTCTGCAAATTGCTTATAGAGTCCTATGCATAACCCTGCTTCAAACAAACAACTAGAAAGGTTAAAGTGGTTCTAAAGCCTCAAGGGTTTTTTACCTGATGCATTCTATGTGTTCAGGTAAAAAAAATGTGTCCCCCTACTCCCCTTCACCCCCCCCAATCCTTATACTTACCTGAGCCCCACTGTGAACAAGAGCTGTGGCTCTCCTGACTTTGTCCCTCCACCCAGGGCACATCAATAGCAGTGGGATCCATTGGCTCCCGTTTCTGTCATTCAACTCCAGTGACAAGGGGTGGGCCTGAGTCCCACTGTCTGTGTCAATGGATGCAGCAGTGGGACTCAGAAGTGAGCCCGCACACGGGTGCCCCCATTGGAGAGATGAGAGGTGTGATTCCCGCAATCAGCACACAAGTGTGAACATGGCCTTAAAAGATATTTCTTGTGCCTACAGGTGAGACTTATTGTAAGTTACAAGTTTAAGGTGGTAGTTTCCTAAAGCTTTACCCCCGGTTCACATATATGCAGCCGTGCGGGCCACGTTTTGCGCAGGCACGAGAGCCCATTCATTTGAATGGACTCCCATGCCCTGTGACACGCAGAGAAGAAGTCCCAGCACTTCTTCCGAAAGCGTAGCTCACACGGGAACCTCGGTACAGTTGCGTTTTCCAGTGTGGTGCGGCTGCAAAGATTTTTGCGCGGATCCTCAGCGGCACAACCCGCACATATGTGAACCAGGGCTTAATTGTGATTCCAGTTAATTTATGAACATCAAAAAAGTGAACATTTGCACTGCATAGTGTTTTCTAGATTGCCAGAAGTTATTTTGCATATAACTGAGCTGTTAGCTGAAAGGCTTTGTCATCTGTCGTCAATTTCTGGGAAAAAACTGTGAGCTGAAAAAGTGCCGAAAATCAGAAATCTCTGTTTTACTAGGACTGTTATACTGAGAGATGAGCACACCAAGTCATATCACTGTACTGGCTGATCTGAGAGTGCAGGTGCAGACTGGGCTATGCTGATCACAGCTGAATCAACTCTTGCCTAGAAAGCAACGCATTACTGGGCAAATCATTAATGCCAGATGTTGAAATGAATGGTTCTCCTGATCCTTCACAGTTTACTGTATGTATACAGCCTAAGAAGCACCCTCGAGTGGTATTACCACTAAGCTCCAGAAGATTTTATCCCCTTCATAACCAGGGCTTTTGCTATTCAGCACTGCACTACTTTAACTGGTAATTGCCCAGACATGCAAGGCTGTACCAAATTAAACTGATATAATATTTTTCACGCAAATAGAGCTTTTTTTTTGGTTCTAGATAACCACTGGGTTATTTATTATTTATTTTATATTTTTGAAAAAAGACAGAACATTTTTTTAAAAATTCAATATTTTTTACTTTCTGCTATAAAACATATCCAACATTTTTTAGAAAAATCTAATTTATTCATAAATTTAGACCAAAATGTATTGTTTTTTTATTATCATTATATTTTTATTAATTTCATATAACAAAATCAAACAATGTGCAAAGCAATACAAATACATTTTCCAAAACATATTTTTCTCATTCCCAATCCCCCATGTACCCTCCGTCCGCCCCAAAATTTACCACCCTAATTCTTCTACTTACCTTTTTCCTTTTTTCTTCCTGTTTCTCTATTACTCCCCATGCCTTCCTTCTCCCCAATCCCCTCCTGTCTTTTGCCTTCATTTTGAACTGTCACTCTAATTTTTCGCCATTTAAACTCCTACCACTTCTACATATCTCTTTTACACTCACTCCATCTTTCCCATGTTTTTTTTTAATTTTTCCTCTCCAATGTGGTATAGTTCCTCCAATATATATATATATATATATTTATACTCCACCCTATATAACCAGTCTTTTATTTTTGGTATCTCCTGGGTCTGCCAGAATTTGGGAATCTATCCTTTTACCGCATTTATTAAGTGCAATACCATCATGTTTGTTTAATTGGGCAACTATGTGGCAAATGAGGTTTACTGTTGATAAATGTAAGGTTCTGCACTTGGGGGCTAAGAATATGCATGCATCATACATACTAGGGGGGTACAACTGGGGGAATCAATGGTGGAGAAGGATCTGGGAGTTCTGGTAGATCACAAGCTTAATAATGGCATGCAATGCCAAGCTGAGGCTTTTTAAAGCAAGCAAAACCCTCTCTTGTATTAAAAGAGGTATAGACTCCAGAGAGAGAGATATCATATTACCCCGGTACAAATCATTAGTAAGACGTCATCTGGAGAACTGGACTGGAGAAAGTACAGAGAAGGGCAACCAAACTGATAAGAGGCATGGAGGAGCTCAGCTATGAGGAAAGATTAGAGGAACTGAATATATTCTCTCTTGAGAAGAGGAGATTAAGGGGGGATATGATCTCCATGTATAATACATCAGTGGTTCATATAGTGAGGTCATCACAGAGGACAAGGGGGCACTCTTTACATCTGGAGGAAAAGAGATTTAATCTCCAAACAAGGAAAGGTTTCTTCACAGTAAGAGCTGTGAAAATGTGGAATAGACTCCCTCAAGAGTTGGTTCTGGCCAGCTCAGTGGATTGCTTTAAAAAACGGCCTGGATTATTTCTTAGATACACAGAATATAACTGATTACTAACATTTATAGGTAAAGTTGATCCAGGAAATATCCGATTGCCCGATTGATCAGGAAGGATATTTTTCCCTGCAGGAGCAAATTGGATCATTCTTTGCTGGTTTTTTTTCCTTCCTCTGGATCAACTGTGGGTATAGGATTATAACTTTTTTTTTTTTAATGGTTGAACTGTATGGACTTTTGTCTTTTTTCAGCCAGACTAACTATGTAACTATATTCTTGTATTGTTTCACTGTAAACTCGGTATTATGAAATAAACATACCCAAGGGTCTTTCAAAATGCTAATGCCCGAAATCTCCTGTATTTGCCGAGTTATTTCCTGCCAAAACACCTGTATTTTGGGGCAGTTCTGCCATATATGTGCCAAGGCCAAAAAGTATTCTGCTACATGTTTTTGGTAAAAAAAAAAAATCCAAATAAGTGTATATTAATTGGTTTGCATGAAACTTATAGCGTCTACAAATGATGGTATATATACTGAAATGTTTATTTATTAATTTTTTTTATTCTAGTATTGGCAGCGATCAGCGACTTATAGTGAGACTGATAGTACGGCAGGCAATCTGACACTTTCAAGGAAAATGACTAACTGACACTGACATCACCAGTGACACTAATACAGTGATCAGTGCTAATAATATACACTGTCATTGTACTAATGACACTGGCTGGGAAGGGGTTAAAATATATGGGCAATCAATGGGTTAAATGTGTGCCTAACAATGTTTACTGTGTGTAGTGCTTTCACTGAGCGATGTGCAGGGTTTTTCTCCCTGCTTTGCAGGGAAAAAAAACTGACACATCGCTGCTGTCTGTAGAGAACCCTGTGTTGTTTAGCAACACAGAGCTCTCTTCTGTCATTCGCTCAGCCTATCAGTTGGGCCTTAAATCACAGGCTGGGACCCACTGATCAGCTGTGCTATAGCGAATAACAGCTCAGCCAGAGCGGCGGGTGGGCGTACACGTGCCCCCTACCCGGAGGAGGGACAAAGCTACAGTGCGTGGTCTGGAAGCTGTTAGGCTCACTGTTTTTTTTACGTTACTGACAGGTAGGGTTTTTATGACACGATCAGGGGCTCATAGGCTGGTGCCTTCTCTTCCTGAAGAATTTTGCACCCAGGACAGCACCCACACTACACCACTAGGTCTAGGCAGGGGCGGACTGACAACTCATGGGGCCCCCGGGCAATAGGGGATCATGGGGCCCCTGTGTCCTTGCCCAAACTCAAAAAAGCCTATGAAAAAGGTACCAGGGGCATCTCATGGGGCCCCCTACTGACCCCGGGCCCTTGGGCATTGCCCGAGTTTCCAAATGGTCAGTCCGCCCCTAGGTCTAGGTACACTTGGATGCAGGACAATTCTCCCCAATTCAATCCCAGAGTACTGCAAAACACTCCAGTCTCATAAATGTATTACATTGGATAATGACACATATTTTATTCAATATCAACGGTCTCAAAAAGCATTCCAAAGCCCAAATAATGAAGATAGCTGAAGAGAAGTGAATTTCACATTCTACAAATCATATAGACTGAGCTGCTAAACTGATTAGATAACTAAAAACATTCCCAGGGACAACCGTCCAAACCCAGAGCACGTTCCTGGAAACCAGGCACAGGCGATAAGTGTGCGCTCCGAGGTGTAGACAAGGCCATAGGAAGAAGAAAACCTTTCACATTATAAAATACCAGCTTGTAAATTCCTGGCAGGGCTATGGGACAAAAGGAAATGTAGAAGCTTCCATTGCCCATCTTCCCTTCTGAAAATACCAGCTGCCTGGCTCTCATGCTTATTCCTCTGGCTTTACTATTTTTTCAGTCTCTGAACCAGAAAACATGCAGATTAGAAGTTAATATTCCTGATTTGTGATCTTGTTCCAGATAGGTGACTGGATTTACATCTATGCCTTTCTCTTTGATGCATTTTCTATTGAATGGAATCACATCAATATGTCAACACGCGCTTTTAGGGC